AATCCATGTGTGTGTGTGTGCGCGTGGATGTATCCATATATGAAGGAAAAACAAGTAGAGTAGAACACGTACAAATTCTCAATCAATGAGCGAAAAAATTGTCTACACCTATACAAATTGGTTGAGTGTGCACACGCACACAGGCACACACAAACACACACGCACATGACCCAGTGTAGCTTGTCAGAAAATGGAATGTTCGAATCTACACAATATGTGAATAGTTAGGCATATCTGTGAAACAAAAAAATTGGGTTTTCAATGTTGAAAAATAGAAAAAAAACAAAAATCTACACCAATAAGACCAAGGTTGATGCAGGCTGACACAATGCCTGTGTGTATGTGTGTAGAACGTGGCTGTATGATGACGATGATAATGATGATCACCATCATCATCACCGTAGTAATAATAATACCTAATGTATTATTGATGTATTATTCATATATTCATGCAAGTACAATATTACATAGGTGTGTGTGTGCAAAAGGGGCAAACTGCCAGCGAATTTAACAAATTAACAGCAGTGAGACCAGGTGAATTTGTATAAGGTTGTTGTTGTCAGTGTCATCAATGTTTTGTATTTTTGTATATTTCAAAATAGAAAATAGACGAGAAACGGATTAATAAAAACATCATTGGTGCCACTGATATCCATTGGATAAAAATTGTGCAAGGCAATATAGAGGTATGCTCTCCTATCTGAAATGTAAAAAAACATTTCATATTAACATGGTATCCAAATGAAATCAGAAAAACAAGTGATAAAATATATACTACTTGTAAGTAGTTTGATAATATTAGCATAAAATCGAGGGTTATGTAATAATGTTATACGAACAGGGGACAATTAGTCCGCATGTTGTGGCCCAATAACTTTGCATATTTTCATACCCTATGACTAATATCATCATCTTAACAATTATCGTATTGTTTATTTAGATTATTTGACACCTGACATGATTGACGAAGAATACGGGAGCTTAAATCAGGCTGACTAAGACAGTAAACACTGACAGTCTTAGTTGGATTCGGATAGCATGTTGGAAGTTACAAATAAAAATTTGGAAAAAAAACAGTCCTATCGAAGCTGCTAACAAATATGACGCGACTTGTTATTGGGACAATGATAAATAAAAGTTTTTGGGAGGAATTTTGAGATGGTGGAGAAAATTTTTAGGATAGGTGGACGATTTGGGGTAGGTAGAGTATCATTCTCTGATCTGGGTATCTTTTAGTTGTGGAGTTTTTATAGTAGTTCTTCTTGTGAACAACAACATTATCAGCAGAAGCTTCAGATAGAGGAAGTGAAGTGTTCCAATTTCTCCACACGTTTGACCTGTAACTCCAGCTCAGAGAACGAAACTTCACCATAACTAAAATAGAATTACTAACGAATGTTCAATATGAACTCATGTGATGAATTGGAACAACGAAATAATAATCTCACAACGCATAATGTTTTGAAATTTCGAATTCCGCGAAGTGTTCTCTGTCGGTTTCCAAGGTGTCTGTCTCTTCGGCTCATATATTCAGATCATTTATTTTGAGTTAAGAAAAAAAGGAACTGTTTAACGCACACACTTTTTACATTAACAAACAAACAAACATTAGGTAAACACATATGATATACTACTGTTAAAATCCTTGTTAGTAGTAGTGGTAGTAGTAATAACAGTAATACTATAATGAAAGTTGCTTTGATTCGTTTTTTTTCCGGTGAAATAATTATACAACTGTATGTAAGATGGTTATTTGTTTAAATGAAATATACAATGATATAACCAATAACTATCATGTATACCACACAGACACACACACACACACCAAGAGAAAGAGAGATTGCAGATGTAGTTTTGTGTAGGAAACAAAAAACCCGCGCCCGAATTACGTAAAATAATATCAACGAGAGAAGAAATAGCGCTTAGAAGAGTCATCAATCAAATGAACAAGATTCACTGTGGACAAAATACTCCTCCATTTAGATAATAGTGCACAATTTGAATTGTCTTTAATAATAATCAGCATGTTGTCACAGCAAGTCAGTAAGAATTCATTCTCACACAGAATGAATATTTTGGGAAAAAACACAGAAAACAGCAACACACACACACAGACACAAGGTGATGGATGAATTGAGAATTGGCAACAACAATAACAAAAATAATTACGATATAATCCGACACCAATTAAACGACGTCGAAAATAGTGTTAATTCGGATAAGGAATGAGAAGTGAGAATTCACACACACACACACACCCGACACCCATACACACACACAGACAGAGTGACAGGAAACACGAGGAGAAAAAAGGAGGGAAGGATGGGAGGAAGAATGAGAAAAAAAACACAATGAGAATTATGCCATTGATTTTTGCATTGAACAGAGGTAAAATAACATTTAGATTGAAACCACCTGATTGTTTGTTTGATATAATTGCTTGTGCAAGCAAAACAAGCAGTGTCAGTCAGCTACAATGTAAAACATCGGTTTTGAGCAGTCATTCAAGGTCTCTAACCATCGATTACTATAATCTCGCGGACCTCCCTCAACTAGGTAGTCTACATCTACATCAATATGACTCAGTCCACTTGTCAGTGCAGTGATTTCATGGATTTGTGCCACGTTTTGGTGTGGCCGCTGGTAGCCATTCTTTCAACCTACTCTTACATCACAAAACATAGCTGTTGGGGATGTTAGATCCCCAAAACTCGCTTGATAAATATGCCTTATTTCGGTTTTCACGTTTGCCAGTATGGGCTGATCAGTTGACCTTGAAATTTCAATTCCCACCAGGAAAATCCATGGCTGTGATTGACTGCTGTGTATTATGAGTGTGCTATTTTCTTAACTGTCTCAAGGACATTTTTATGATGTATAAATAAATGAGAGTTGTGTACTTGATTGTACTGTGATTGCTGGGTGTTTGTAGAATATACTTTCTACGCTTACCAAGACTTCTGTTTCACAGTTTGGGATTCAAGGTAGCCTACCTGGACGCTGGTAATTGTCTCGTTCGCGTTTATCGACTAAGGTAAACTCGTAATAGCCTCAAGCATACTAAGTGACGAACATAATATTAGCCCGTAAAAACATACGTCTATATCACAAAACATCGCTCTTCGGTTACACGTACGTAACAACACATGTCCCAACTATTTCAACTAATAAAAATTCCCTACTTCATCAATCGACCTGTCATGCTTACCTTGTACCCCATTTCATCTAATGACAGCATGGCTTACTAGATTATCTCATGATATACAACCAATGATGCTTAGAAGACACTTACGATCGAATACTAGTAACATAAACAAGTGGTATAATATGAAAAGAAAATATGACAATTATCTATCTTTAAGACGTCATTTAGTAGTTCACTGAAAACTCATTAATCAATAACAGAACTATGAGAAACAATCAATACTCGTTAAAATTTTATATGAGCATGTTGTGTGTTCGCGACATGGTGAAGAAAATCTATAACACTCAGGTAGATCGTTTGATTGTGGAGAATTCATTGTTCTTCTTCTGAACACAATGTCATCCATCTCCTAACCATAAACTTTATATCGACGAAAATTAGCCGTTGACACCGTTGAATGCGGGTTCAGTGGTTCAGAGGTTAGGCGTTCGCGCATAAAACTGTGGGTCCTTGGTTCGAATCTTGCGAATGGAAAGAGTCGTGGATACGCATTATTGGTGAGCCCCATATACCTAAGACGAAACATATGTCCAGTATTTCTAGGTTTTTTTAATAGTGGTCTAACAATGGTTCATTCATGATTTCAACACAAAAAACTCCAGGAATGTTACGCTCGTCACTAAGTATGCTTGAGGCTATTACGAGTTTACCTTAGTCGATAAACGCGAACGAGACAATTACCAGCGTCCAGGTAGGCTACCTTGAATCCAAACGGCAAACAGAAGTCTTGGTAAGTATCGAAAGTATATTCTACAAACACCCAGCAATCACAGTACAATCAAGTACACAACTCTCATTTATTTATACATCATAAAAATGTCCTTGAGACAGTTAAGAAAATAGCACACTAAAATACACAGCAGCCAATCACAGCTATGGATTTTCCTGGTGGGAAATGAAATCTCAAGGTCAACTGGTCAGCCCATGCTGGCAAATATGAGATCCGAAATAAGGCATATTTATCAAGCGAGTTTTGGGGATCTGACATCCCCAACAAGGGGAATTATTCAAATCTCTGTAAAAATAACTGACAACTAATCTTGTCAACTTCGATCTTCTAAAAATTTTTCTAGTATTCCAAAGTATTTTCTCGAGTCAAAATATCACCCACCACTTAACCAGTCGAAGGTGTTTGAATTTATTTGTACAAATGCATTGATATCAAGGAAGATAAGCCAGGGCTCTGTCCAATGTAGTAAGTCGGAAGAAAGCTAGAGGTGGCCAGAGCAAAAGCATGACACAAACATTTCAAGTCACTTAAAAAAAACGAAGTTGGTAAGTGTAGACTACCAAGTTGAGGTAGTAACCAATGGTTAGAGGTTGTGAATGACATAGCTCGAAATCGTTTGCGATAGTGTAGACGAATCCATTTATTGTGTTCTTTTTGGAATCCTAATTTTCTGAGTTCTTTATCGCCCCCTAAATTTATTTCACTGAATTACACCTCTGAAGTAATTTCTTCAAAGCCTAATCTTCTGCATTATCGCTGACACCGCTTCGACCAGCTCCACTAATATGGGATTGCAACTGACCATTGCATCAATCTGTGTTAATATCGTACGGCAACTTGAACTGACCGATATACGTACGTACGAAGTTCTATGTTGTAGCCGAATGACTGAGAAACTACATTGCAATAAAAAAAATAATAATAATCGATCAATGAAATGATAAACAACATTTGTATGGGCACATTAGAAAGTTTTCAGGTATCCCATTCATTGATTGTAACGACCATAATGTTGTAGTTAAATAGAATTTTACAATAAATCATAAATAATATTTACAAAATACATTACTTTTTAAGAAGATTTGTATTGATTACTGACAGAACCGATTGTGATGCAGAAGACGAAGAAGAAGAAGAAGTATTGACGCTGATTTGTTCCAAATCTTCATTGCCATTGACTAATTTACCATTTCTATCTATACTACTAACAGCATTACTAGTAGTAGTTGTTGTTTTGATGAATGTTGTGGAACAACTGATCGATAAATTCTCATCACCATTACTGTTTATCTTGTCAGCTGATTCATTCGTTTGAGATACTATACAAAACGTATAGTAGACAGAACATACACACGCACACACACACACAAAAGGATGAAAAAAGAAAATCAATAAACGGAAGACAAAACTGGTAAGATTATCTATCATATCATAGACGAACAATGAGAATGCATCTTGGTTTGATTTCAGCGTGAGATTCGGTTTATGCACATGACCAGGGAGAATTTTTCGGCATCATAGTTGATGTCAGTTTTAGGAGGAAAATCTCCAAACTCTAGTTGTTAAACTATGGCGCTTCTGGTTCTAAATCCCTCTTTAAAGACATTTTATAAGTTAGTGAATTAACTGAAGGTCGTTATCATCAGTTCACTTAAAAGTTTTGAGATGATGGAGCTAATTTGTAGCTCAGCTGAGCTGGATGTGGTTTGGCTGTTCAGCTCTCATTGTGCTTCTTCTGAATTCCTCATAATCTCTATCTTTCTCCTTTTAAATTTATCTCACTGAATTATACTTCTCGAATCATATCTTCGCTCCCTAATCTTCTCCATTACTGCTAATATACTTCTACTATCGCTATAACTCTTGGATTTGAACTGACAGTTGCGTCTGTGTGCTGATGTGGTATGGCAACCTGAACTGATGTACCTACGTACGAAGTTCTCTGTTGTGTCTGTGTCTTCTTCTGAACAACAACATGCTTATCAGCACAAATTTCAGATAGCAGAAGTGAAGTATACTAACTTCTTCACGTGTATGACTAGTAGCAAGAAACACATAAGAGGCAAATACAATCAAAATAAAGGTGTAGGCAATAACTAGTTCAAGCTCAATAACAACCAATCAAGATCGAGGCCAACGGAACAAGCCGAGAGTCATATGTGACGAAATTCGAATACCTCACTACCAGCTGTGGTTTATGCTGATAGTGTTGTGTTCAGATGAAGAACATGGAGGAAAATTCCACAACCAAACCACGTCTAGCTCAAAAAGAGAACGAAACTTCATCACAATTGCTTGAAGGTCGTTCATGAAGGTTTCCGAAAAAACACAGCATACAAAAGTAATCGATATTTTAAGAGCAGAACATTTCATGTGCGTACACTAACACTGTCAAGCGCAAAAGGCTTGTCCCAGTCTTTGGACAGGATTAATGAATCTCTTCATGCGTTTTTACTTGAGTTCATGTAGGTGCAACGTTTACTTCACTTATTTATGTCTGACTATAAAAATTTAGTCATGCGCCTCGTATATCCTGGGACAACCGAGTAAGCAATTCTGTCGTTAGGAAATGAGTTCTAGGTAGGGATGGCAAATTAATAGATGAAGTAGTGAAACTTCATCAGTTGAGGTGGTTGAGACATGTGTTACGAATGCCCGTCTACCTACGAGCTATGTTTTGTGGTGTAGGAGTAGGTTGGAAGAAAGTTAGGGCGGCCAAATCAAAACATGACAGAAATCCATGAAGTCACTGACAAGTGGACTGAGTCATGTTGGTAGTTGTAGGCTACCTGATTGGTATCCGCGAGACGAAAGTCACCAGTGGTTAGAGGCCTCGCACGACATAGCTCAGAATCGTTTGCAATGGCGCAAGTGCATCCATTCTTTGAGCTCTCTCAAATCCTAATCTTCTGAATTCCTCATCACCTCTATTTTTCTCTTTCTAAATTTATCTCACTGAATTATATATATCTTTCACGAATCATATCTTCGAACCCTAATATTCTCAATTATCGCTACTACTCTTACTATCGTTACCACTATTGGATTCGAACTGACAGTTGCGTCTTTGGTGCTTATGCGGAATGACAACATGGACTGATGTACATACGTACGTACGTAGGTACGTACGAAGTTCTGAGAGGTATCTGTCTGTCTGTCTGTCTATCCTCTGTACTAACCATGTCTTGAAGTGAATTCAACAAATAAAAACTCCTAATCGATAACACTCACCATCAGTTAATTTATTCAAATCATATTGAAGCATAGATGTGGTCTGTTTCATAGAATGTTGTTGTTTAATTTGAATCGGTGACTTTAAATCTTCTTCTTCGTCATCCTCGTCCTCCTCCACCTCATCATCATCATCACCATCTACATCGACATCATTGTCATTGTCGACGACATTGTCATCGTCACTATCCCTATTTAAATAATGTTGTAAACTGGGAGTTTGGCTTAAGAACAATTTTCGTAATTCCTTATCACTAACAGCATTTTCATGTTTTAAACATTTATAATAATTTGACATAGACAATTCAGTGTTTATATAGTCATCAATCACTTTGATTGATGATGATTTATCATGTTTATCATGATTGATAGATTGTTGATTCGTGGTGTCAAGGTGATCATCATCATCATCATCATCATCTTCATTATCATTAGTGATAATACTATTATTGCTGTTGTTGTTGTTGAACTCTTCATCTGGATCTAACCATGAATCAAGAAAATTTTGTAAAATAGTTTTACGTTGTAAACTACTACTACTACAGCTATGATTAGTTGTTTTATTGGTTTCTGTTGTTGTTATTGTTGTGGACATGAAATAATCATAACTGATTTGATTTGTAGCATGGATATTCACATCATCAGCATCTGCATCAGCGTCGTCATCATCATGATTGACAACACCATCATTATCATCACCATCATCATCGTTTTGATTTGTACCAAAATACATTTCCCATGCAGCATGTGATATTTTAGGTGAATTTGATTTGATTGGCGGTGCCAATACAAATGAACTACTATTTATGGAAAATAGATATACATACATAAAAAATAGAACAATAATACTAATAATAATAATAGAAAAGTGTAATATATGTATATACATACATAAATATATGTGCGTAACAAGCGACGATATTCACAGGTTATTGATACTGGTATCATCGATGCCTTAGAAGTATTATTCGTATGGCAGATCAATCTATGAGGTAGTGAACATTTTGTCGGTTGAGATGGTTGGGAAATGTGTTATATATATATGCTCAAAATCAACGACTGCTTCGAACGTAGATGTTACATTGACGTCGTGGTCGGCCGTACTGTGGTGTCAGCTACTTATAAGTAGTATATGACGTCAGTGTCAACGTAATGTCTGGCAGCAGAAGATGGGGGGAAGATCAAGAAAGGAAGAGTTAGAAGAACACAATGGAATTTGTATGAAACGCATGAATAGTAGTGACAATGGATTGATGTTTGGCAACAGGAACAGTCCAGTTCGATATGATGAACTGTTATTTTGCAAATGAACGATTTACGATATGGTTTTCCAATTTTACTGAGTAACTCTGTAATTTTTCGTTAAATACAATTCGGTTGCCCCACCTGTGTTCTCATTCACTACAGTACCTATTGTGATGACCTTACCGAGTTATATTGGCTGGAACATAAGTTCCTGAAGGTTCTACCATGTTACGCAGGTCGATTGGAGAACGATGAGACTAAAAGCAGCTACTCAAAGGTGGTCTGAAGGCGAAGTCTTACTGCTGACTGACTGTAGAGAGGCGTGACAGCAGTAAGGCGTTTATCTCGGACAACCAATATCTGAAGCGATGTTGTCTTTTCACAGGGAAGAAAGGGGTTAGAAACTGTCGACCTGAAACATGTCACCTCAACTTACCTCATGTATTTCCGTCTCCGACGGTAAGGGCTTTTAAACAAGGACGAAGCTAACGCTTTAAATACCACCTATAAAAAGGACGTGCGTGTCCTTTGGGCTCTGAGGTCACGCTCCCAGGACTCTAAGACAAACAGTAATCCAACTTCCTGATCAGGTTCCTCAAATAACAACCTTCCATGGTGTGGACATTCGAGAAGTGACATCCACCCTCATATCCGTAACAACACTTGATACCGAATCGGTCACAACCAAATCCTTCTTACACCTCTTATTATCTCTCATATCTCCACAACTAACCCAACTCACGTTCCTTTATCAATCGGCACCGTTAATGCAAACGACCCGAGTTCACGAAACGTTATTCCTGGTCTCCTGAAACCACCATCCTAAACTACATGGTGGAACTTTTAATGTCCGTGAATTTTAGCCATTCTGTACTAATATGGTATGGTGACCTGAACTGATGTATGTACGTACCAAGTTCTACGTTGTAACTCACTCACTGACTGACTGACTAACTGAGTTGATGAAGACAACTTAATGATATTTATATTTCATTCTGCACTGATCATTATTGATTAACTCTCCCTTTTCAACAAGTAAATATACTATTATCTTCATCAAAAGAGAGATGTGGATAGAGTGGGGTGTCGCCAACACGGATTAAAAATTCTTTCACATATTACGCCCGAGAAATGGAGACAGACATAAGTAGAATGAACAACAATTGGACAGAACTAGAAATGAAAGCTTAAGGACAGATTAAGTTGGAGAATGCTAGTCGGTGGCCTATGCTCTATTGACGGGTAACAGGCGTAAAAGCAGGTAAGTAATTTATGATAACAGCGTAAAACGTATTGATTAGAATTTAAAACTAAGAAAGGTTTCAAGAAATTTGCCTTAAAAACTTTAAATTAACCTAGTTCATCAAGAGTTCACCGTGCTAGATGACTCAATGTTCCGTTTGATCATCAATGTCACTAAAGGATTATGTGTCAGTTAATGCGGAGGTTTTGCGAAAACACTGACAATAATTCAAATCAATTGTCTTGCGACATTATCAAACATGACGGTTCAACAAGAAGTTGCTTAATCATTTATGTCACATAACTAAAAAGGAACTTCTACAACTGGTGCTTCATTCTACAGAAATTTATATGTTGTGTACTGTTATGAGTATGTAGGCGAATGTGTCACTCACTGTCTCCTCGGCTGCCCGCCCATAAATTAGCACCAATAGTTATAAAATAATGACAGCAAAAGCAATAACAACGAATATGCGAATCAACTTACTCTGATTGATCAAGCACATCAATAATACATTGAGATAACTGAAAAAAAATAGAAGATGAAAAAAGAACGTGATATCGACGAAAGACACAAAGTAGGAGAAACAAGGAAACACGTAGAATGTGATTTTGATTTAAACAAAATCGTCAGCCAGACAAACAGATACAACGCACAACTTCGTACGTAAGTACATCAGTTCAGGTTGCAATACAACATTAGCACACAGACGCAACTGTCAATTCAAATCCAAGAGTGATAGCGATAGTAGAACTATTAGCAGCAATGGAGAAGATCAGGGAGCGAAGATATGATTCAAAAAGTATAATTCAGTGAGATAAATTTAGAAGGAGAAAGATAGAGATGATGAGGAATGCAGAAGGTTAGAATTAGAGAGAACACAGAGAATAAATGCACCGGTGCCGTTGCAAGCGATTTTGAGCCATGTCATTCAAGGTGTCTAACCATTGGTGACTTACGTCTCACGGACCCCAACCAGGTAGCCTACATATGCCAACATGACTCAATCCACTTGTCAGTGACTACATGGATTTGTGCCGTGTTTTGGTTTGACCGCCCCTAGCTTTATTTCAATCTACTCCTACACCACAAAACATAGCTACTCGAGGTAGTCGGTGGTCAGGCATACGCAATACATGTCCCAACCACCTTAACTGATGAAGTTTCACTACTTCATCTATTGATCTGTCATCCCTACCTAGAACTCGTTTCCTAACGACAGCATTGTTTATACGGTTGTTCCATGATACACGAGCAATGCTTCGGAGACACCGATGATCGAAGACTAGTAACCTACGAAAGTCCTCTACTCTTAACGGCCATGTTTCGCATCCGTGTAGTAGGACGGAGCGAACTGCCGAACAGTACACTCGTCCTTTGGTTAGCAAGCGGATATCTCGTCTGCGCCATAGGTGACGCAGGTTGGCAAAAGCCAATCGAGCCTTCTGTATCCACGCTCAGATGATCAATACTCAGTGAGGTAATCAATGGAAATCTGGATGTGTACTAGACGGCCGATGTTTTATTCTAGTATGGGGCTCATCAACAATGCATACATCCACTATCTGCGTACAAGGGAATCTAATTGAGAATTGACGATCTTGTGTGAGAATATTTATTTAATCTCTGAACTTTTGAGTTGGTATCCAATGAAGTTTATGTCTAACTTTAATCAATCTATGTTATTTCACAGTTGAACTCTACTAGTCATATCTTCTTATCTGACCTCTAAGAATTTCTGTGGAGAAGTTAGTCACACGCTTTACACTAACGATTAAAAGAAATATTGATGTTGTAAATGGCGCAGATGTAGCCACTCTTTGTGTTCTAATCTGTATGCCGCATGATCTTCATCTTTCTCTTCTTAAATTTATTGCATTGGATTGATTATACGCCTTGAATGATAATCTTCTCCATTAGTGCTAATACTTCTACTAACTCTACCACTATGGGATTGAAATTGACAATGCCAGCCCTCTCTGTTTGCTAATGTGATATGGCAACTTGAACTGATCGATTTATGTAAGTACAAATCTCTACGTTATTGCTGGATGACTGATTTCGATGGGTAACTGTCTCTCACACGAACTCTAATGATTGCATCTTATTACCTAACCTCTATGAATTTCCCTCAAGAAGTAAATAAGTCACACTAGTTTAAGTACATGATAATTTTTTGACAAACCTTATATACTAAACAATTCAAGAAATTTTGTTGTTGTTGTTGTCGTCAAATAAATAACAATGAATAACTTTGATGAAAATGAAATTTCAAATGTGTATTTTACTTTAGAAAAAAATTGATTTTAAACAAAAAAATCTTTATTGATTTTTATTTTACCTCAGTCACTTGTACACTGTTAACAGTATTCAGATTACTGACAAAATCTGACCATAGATTTTGCATTTTTGGATGTAAATCTAAAAACAAAAGAAAAATTTTTCTTCAGAGTTCATCAAACATTTTCACCGTTGAAAAACAATTTACTAATGTAAAATTTAAAACAAAAATGTTACACCTGCACGTAAACACGTCAACTTGATATACTTGAACTATTACGAGTTTACCTAAGTCGGAAACACGAGAGCGAGGATCGAGGATCCGGCGACACGACATGCTACTCTAATCCGATTATCCCAATCCCCATACTGAGTGAAAATAAGAATACAAGACTTGATATGAAGTAGAACTTGTATCCTACAAGCATCCAGAAAGTACAAGATCCGAATCCACAAAAGAATCAGGATCCCGAACTAGGGATCCGGGACCGGGTCCTGGTCCTGGTCATAAAACGTTACAGATGATGCGTATTTATACATTTTAATCGAACAGGAAACAGCATCGAAGTCTGTGGCATCGACATTTAAGGCGACCAATAGGAAGTAACATTTGAAGTGACATTGATAGTCAAGAAAACCAATAAGAAACAACATTGGAGCACGTGACATTGATATGTAGGACGACCATAAAATTGACCATTAGGAATTAACCAATAGGAATTGACGTATAATTCTCTCAGGATATTAGATGAATATCCTAACAAAAAAGCCACACCAAGTGTAACGATAAAGAATCACTTTTTCGAGCTTTTGAGTTAAGAGCACTGATCCATAAGACTGTGGAACAATATGACAAGATGTAGTATCCCTTACAGTAACTGATGATATTCAACAAGTTCAGACATCATTTGTTTTCTAGGCATGCTGTAGTCTATGCGTAACATTATTTGGGAATCAAAGTGTTACGAATGCACGTAAACACGTCAAATTGATACGCTTGAACTATTACGAGTTCACCTTAGTCGGTGGTGAACCAGAGCGAGGGTTGATGATCCGACGACACGACAGACTTCTCGAATTCGAGTGTCCCGAACCCCCCCCCCGTTGAATGAAAGAAGAAGAGTTGATATGAAGTGGAACGTGTCTTCTACAAACATCCGGAAGAGGAGAAGGATCTGAGGCGTAAATTGTTGCAGACAATGCATATTTATACAGTTAGGTCGAATAGAAAACAACATTTGAAGTATGTGACATTGATAGTTTGGATGACCAATAGGAATTGACCAATAGAATTAGGCTTACAAATAAGTCTCTTAGGATATCGGATCAATATCCTAACAGAAAATCCTACAACTCCTCCTCTAGGTGGATTTTCCAACCAGCTTAAGATAAGAGATATTCGTTTTTATCGTCCTCTCGATTGCATAAACAATATCTAATCCTTCACACGAAGTGAGTGACTAGGCCTTTCCTTAACAGTATGAACATATACGCTTGAGCGTTGTGTTACAGCTTACGCAATATAGACACACTAATAGCTTTAATATTAGTCGCTACTCACTCATTGTTCAACATGATTATGTGTGTACATCTTAATTCTTATCTATTCGCTCTTTAGCATTCGCAATACATCTCGCTTTCGATTTATATGCCTGTGGTTTTGCGATTGCTATAGTGCGATGATAAACGTTACCATCACTTCGTGTTTTTTTATATACCGTTGAGCGTTATCTATTAACGGTGATCAGGTCGAACAGTATACGAGGTTTATAAATTATAACGAATATCCACCACCAAAAAGTTGTTTTGAACCTTTTTACAATCGCGTCCCATGCTACCTAACATTGTGCGCCTAACTGTATGATATATATATATATACCATCATACTACTGTGGTGGATGCTACTCACAAAAGATAGCAGCATATAAGTGGCATGCAGTGGGGCGTCTGCTAAAAGTTGTCACCGCAGAGAAGAATGCTTGGAGATAGATTCATCTAAGACAATAATACCATTGAATGACAACTCAATGGCCAAGAAGTTAGGCGTACAAGTGCGAGACAGAAAGTTCGGGTGTTCAGCCCCGCTCGAAAGGTTGTGGATATGCATTGCTACTAACTGTTACCTTGATGTAGTGGTCGGGCTGGTTTATTCTGATGACCCGACCGAGATATATTGGCTGGAACATATGCTCTTGTACGTTCTATCATCCCAGGCAGGTCGATTGGAGAACAGTAAGAATAAAAGCAGCTACTCAAGGTCTGACGGTCAGGTCGTAATGCTGACTGCCGAGGGGTGGCAGCAGTACGGGGTTCCGCTCTGACAACAAGCATCTGCAGAGATGCTACCTTCTCACAGGGAAGGGGTTAGAAAAGGTTGACCTTAAAAATCTCACACCTCATCCTACTTCACAGATTTCCGTCTCCAGTGGTAAGGCCTTTTGAAGAGCGGAGCTAACACTACAAAGTTCTCGTATAAAGGCCGTGTGTGACCGGCCTCAAGCAGTTGACTGTTTGGCTGTACGGTCACGCTTTCAGGTCGCTCAGACTAACGCTAACCAGATTTTCTTTTCAGGTTCCTGAAGAAACACTCTTTCACAGTGTGGGTAGCCATGAAATGACATCCACCATCATACTGATATGAGCTCACGAGATCAAAAAATTCACAATCAAATTTTTCCTACACATCTTAATAACTATGTAGGCTGGAAGAAGGCTAGGGGCGGCCAAACCAAAACATACGTCACTGACAACTGAACTGAGCCATGTTAGCTGGTGTAGACTATCTGGTTATGATCCGCGAGACGATGGTAACCAATTGGTTACAGACCATGAACAACATGACTTACAATCGTTCGCAATAACACAGATGCATCCATTCATTGCGTTCTCTCAAATCATAAACTTTTGAATTCCCTATAACCTCTGTATTTCTCTTTTTAAATTTAATTCACGGAACTATACATCTTGAATAACATCTCTGGGCCCTAATCTCTCTAATTACTGCTAATACTTCTACCACCTCTACTACTACTATTGTGGGATTTGAATTGACTATTGTGTCTTTGTGCTAACATGATATGGCAACCTGGACTGATACACGAAGTTCTTCGTTGTGGTTGACTGACTGACTAACGGACTAATACAAGGACCAGAAACAGTTGTTCAATGCTTCGAAATAACAAACAGTGATCAAACACTGATCGATTCCTTTGGACAACTAGATGACAAGGGGCAACTGCTTGAGGTCGGTCACGCATGGCCTTTTTATGGGAAGATTTAGGAGTATTAGCTCAGCTCTTAGTTAAAAGGCCTCACTGCCAGAGATGGAGATCCGTGAGGTAAGGCGGGGTGTGACGTTTTTTAGGGTCGACCCTTTCTGACTCCCTTACCTTCCCTGTGAGAAAGAAGCGTCAGTGCATGATCTCAATGAATTACAACCAAAATTCTACAACGTTAAAATCACAAAAAACTCAACAATTTCAAGGAATTAAAGAATGAAATGAAGCACATTGTTGACAAAAAACGAACAAAAAATTACCTTGAATAAGTGATTTTAAAAATTCTCCATATGGACCATTGCTTGCTGATAGAATGATATTACCGATTTGCCAAACATGCCCTGAATAACCAAATTTTATGGGAGGATTTGTTAATTTGGATGCACAATTCGATGAATCGTCATCAGTAGTTTCACTGAAAGAAGAGTGATATTGATGATGATGATGATAGTGATAATAGTTAGTGTTAGAATAATTTAGTGAAAAACAACATACTACTAACATAAGTAATAAGTAGTCAAAATAAAAAATGATTATATTCTAGATTCAAGATGGATGTTTCAACTTAGCTTTGCTCTTCATTTTCTTCTTACGCCTTGAAGATCAAAAGTAGGCGCTTGCCGCATGATGCCGTTGGGAGATTTACGCAATGTGTGTCCTGTTCACGTTCAGCGCACCTTCCTAATTTCACTATTGGCTGTATTCAGACTTGTTATTTCTCATAATATAAAGTTGGTGTTAGTAACTGACCAGCAGAGTCGCAGCATATTGCGTAAGCACCTGTTAATAAATACCTGTATCTTTTGGATAATAGTTTTCATAGTTCATGCGTGTGCCTAACCACGTCGGGCTATGCTTTGTGATGTAGGAATAGGTTGGAAGAAAGCTAAGGATGGCCAAGCCAAAACATGGCATAAATCGATGAAGTCACTGATAACTGGGTTGAGGTACGTTTCGACTACCTTGGTTGAGGCCGGCGAGATGATAGTAATCGATGGTTAGAGACGTTGAATGAAATTGTTCAAAATCATTTGCGATGGTGCAGGTGCATTCATTCTTTGTATTATCTCAAATCCTAACCTTCTGAATTTCTTATTAGCTTTATCTTTGTCTTTTCAAGTTTATTTGACTAGATTCTACTTATTGAATAATATCTTCAAACCCTAATCTCTTCGATTACTGCCACTACTTGTACTACCTCTACTTCAATAGGATTTGAAGTGACAGTTGCATCTCTGTGTGCGAATGTGGTATGCCAACTTGAACTGATGTAATTACGTACGAAGTTCTGCATTGTTGTTGACTGACTGTATTGATGTTTGTACTGAAAACTGTGAATTTGGTGTTGGTTGACAGTTGTTGAGTTATAGATTCTGTTCAACTGTAAAAGTACTTCCCTTCCTTAGTTAATCCTTGCGTTTATATCTGTGTGCAATGTTTCTTGTTTATCAATGATGCTATCCAGGCATGTAAACGTTTCTACATCTTTCAAAGCTTCAGTATCAAGTGAGATGTTGACAGTTTCATAATTTAGTCGATCACAAAAAGAAAGGGAAAGGGTGATGTGGTGTGTGCTACTTATACGAACGATATAAGTAGTATAAGAAGGGACGTGAAAGAAGAAGTCTCACGGTCAGAAGAGGAAAACGGAAAGCAAATGGAGCAAAAGCAAGAAGTAAATGGAGTACCAACAGGAAGGGAAGGAAGCAACAGCAGGAATGGAAGAAGGATGGAGCGTTGGAAGTCACGACTCAAAGATGGTGTACAAATAGAGTATTCAATGTAATGCTTTCGTTTTTAACTGACTCAGAGTGTAAATTTGCATAATACAATCTTCCTCGCCTGCCTCAGTCTTCTCACGGAGAGTAAACAACCTAGCCTGACATTGGTCTTCACCTCGAACAAGTCTGTCAGCTGCATAATTTTGCAGCTTAATCCATCATAAGAATTCTGTATGCTGTTGACTATCTTCTCAGGCACTCCGTAATGTCAAAGAAGCTTCCATAGTGTTGTCCTGTCCATACTATCGAATGTTTTCTCGTAGTCAATGAAAACGAATCACTACCAGTGTAACATATGCTGAAAAGGTCCAGTTCATATCGAATAATAATAATAATATGTACACTTTATCTTCATATTTTCATTGTACTTTTTTTCTGCTTCAAAACACTTTGATTGCGCCATCAATTTTCCCTAACGATACTCCTCTGCATACTACTACTACTACTACTACTTAGAAGCGATGTTATGAGTAGTATGAACTGCAACAATACAAAGATATATTGATTTTCTTTCTAATTATACATTCCTCTTCTCCTCTATTATCTTTTAACTTTGATATTTTTTCGGTATTGTCTGGTTGCAGCAGCCTTATTGCTTTGTTTTATGCTGAGTTTTCAAAAAAATTTGTGTTGCGTATTCGATCGATCGATTGATGCGTTATTTAAGTTCATTTTGAAATTTCTTATTTATTGACAGAAAAATTATTTGATTTTGTAAAAAAAAAAACTAAGTTATTTTTATTTAAGTACAGTGATTTACTGAAAATAAAAGGAGGCATTGTATTGAATGTAACGACAGTTGTAATACAATGCAGGCAATGGTGAATGAACATTTTGCACATTCATGAAGTAACACACCCAGAAGTGGCCTAGAGGTGAAATGTTAGCACTTGACATGATGCGCACTGCTAAGAAGACCATTGTTAGGACGAGACTGTTACGGGATTTCATTTTGACTGATTAGGTCTCGTGTGCTGTTACGAGTATGAGGGCGGTTGTCATGTCCCAAATGCCCACACCGTGGAAGGTTGTTTCTTGAGGCACCTGAAAAGGAAGATAGGTTAGTGTTGGTCTTAGAGACCTGGGTGCGTGACCGCAGAGTCCAAGGGACAACTACTTGAGGCCAGTCATGCACCGACTTTTTATGAAGGGTTTTTGAGTATTAGCTCCGCTCTTTTTAAAGCCCTTATTGGGCAGTCCTTACCAACGAAGACGGAAATCCGTGAGGTAGGGTGAGGTGTGACATTTTTAGGGTCGACCTTTTCTAACCCTTCCTTCCTTGTGAGAAGGCAGCATCGCTGCAGATGTTGGTTGTCTGAGGGAAACACCTTACTGCTGTCACATCCCTCCATCACAGTCAGCAGTACGACTTCGCCATCAGACGTTGAGTAGGTGCTTTTAGTCTCATCATTCTCCAATCCACCTGCCTGGCATGGTAGAACCTTCAGGAGTATATGTTCCAGTCAGTATAGCTCGGGTGGTTCATCACGATAGTCAAGGCCGACCACCATGTCAAGGTAGCAGCTACGGTCGAGTAGGATGAACCAGTCATCGAGAACTTCCCGGTTTTCAAGAGCGATTCATAATTTCAACTAAGAAAACTTTGAATGTTATCAGAGAGGGGGTACAAAACTTATATAACACTCAGTGTCAATAATATCAGTTAGTTAAAGTATTCAGTACAAAATAAAACTGATCATAAACTCATCAGATTTATTAAACTCATCTAAATTTGAACTTTTTTGTACATACATAATTAATGGTACAAAGGAAGCATTTAAACAGTTATATGCCACACAAATTATTGAATATGTGAATGAGATAGGGTACTACTATACTGGCCAGTTGCTTAAAATGAAACAGTTAGTTACTCTATGTACTTTTAACCGTACAGGTCAGGTGTTGCAATCACATAGTAGCCGGTGATGATGAACAATAGATTTACAGCAATTGTTCTATCAGAAGAATTCTTGAGTTCCAACTCCCAAGACTAAAACCATTTACTCGAAGCTGTGAGGGCGAAGTCAGAAAACTGACTGTAGAGAAGTGTGACAACAGTAAAGTGATTCCTTCGGACAACCAGCCTTCTTACATGGAAGGAAGGGGTTAGAAGAAGTTGACCCTAAAGATGCCACATCTTAGCTTACCGCAGGGATAACCATCTCCGGTGGTAAGGCCTTTTGAAGAGTGAAGCTGAGATAATAAAAACGTCCCATAAAAAGGCTGTTTGTGATCGGCTTCAAGCAGTTGTCTCTTGGGCGCAGCCTCCAGGTCGCTAAGACCAACGCTAGTCCAACTTGTTTCTCAGATTCCTCACAGAATACCCTTTTACGGTGTGAACAGCCAGGAAGTGATGTCCGCCCTTGTATGGAAAGTTAGATCCCCAGAACTCATTTGATAAGTGTCCTAATTTTGGAATTTTCGTGTTTTCGCGCATGAGCTGCTTAGTTTCCCACTCGGAAAATCCTTGAATTTTATTGGTTGATGTGTTATGTTGGTACGCTAATTTTGTAGCTCTCCCAAAGACGTCTCTATCATGTGTAAATAAGTACAATTTGTGTGCTTGTTGACCTTGTACTTTCTAGGTGATTGTAGTATACACTTTCTACGCCCTATCAAGACTTCTTCCTATGGTAAGCTGGGCCAGGGACAATCGAATGTGAATAGCCTATCGTGTCACTATTATCATTATTTATCTGTGCTCTGTTTACCGGGTAAGACGAACTCATAATAGTTTCAAGCATATCAGCCCTCTAACCTCTAACAACATAGATGAACAACTTGAATCACACTCTTTTAATTATTGCAATAAAATAGTAACCATTAAAAATGTATAAAGTTTAATTGATCAAAACAAACATAACGTAATGTATGTTATAATGCAACACGCTACCCAGATGTGAAATCGATAAGTTCTATTCCCTACTGGAGCAAGAATGCAAACAACCGAAGAGAAGGTTTATTTAGCTACTGAATAATATGAACAGATCCCCTAGAAAACAAAGCAATTCCGTAGCCAATGATATGTATTTTCATCCTTTAGGATATTTCCCATGGTCACCATCCAAAAGATGTTTATTAACGGTTGTTTACGCAATTACCTAATATTGCAGGGAACAAATCGGATTCGAGCCAAGGACGAGACACATTGTGTTAAAGGACAAGCGCTCAACGCTTGGAATCCTCAAGGCCACAGGAGAACAGGGAAGACCGAAGAACACACTGTGTCAAGAATTAGCGGTAAACATGAAAAGAATGAACAGTTACCGGATAGAACTAGAAAAAAAAGTCCCAGGACAGAGGAGGTTGAAGAATACTGATCGACGACTTATTCTTAAATAAGGGGTAAAAAGGTTTACACAAGTAAGTACGTACCCGTCATCAGATATAGACACAGATACAACGCACAACTTCACATGTAAGTACATCACTTCAGGTTGCCATACCACATCAGCACACAGACGCAAATGTCAGTTCAAATCCAACAGTGATAGAGATAGTAGAATTATTAGCAGCAATGGAGAAGAGTAGGGAGCGAAGATATGATTCGAAAAGTATAATTCAGGAGTAAGGTAGAGGAATTCAGAAGGTTAGAATTAGAGAGAACCCAGAGAATAAATGCACCGGCGCCATTGCAAACGATTCTAAGCCACGTCGTTCAAGGTCTCTAACCATTGGTGACTTTCGTCTCGCGGATCCCAACCAGGTAGTCTACATCTACCTACATGACTCAGTCCACTTGTCAGTGACTTCATGCATTTCTGTCATGTTTTAGTCTGATCGTCCCTAACTTTCTTCCAACCTACTCCTACACTGCAAAACAAAGCTCATCGAGGCAGTCGGTGATTGGGCATACATAACACATGTCCCAACCATCTCAACTGATGAAGTTTTAATACTTCATCTATTGATTTGCGATCCTTACCTGGAACTCGTTTCCTAACGACAGCATTGCTCACTTGGTTGTCCCAGGATACATGATCAATGGTACCCGTCATCCCATGAACGGGATTCGCTTGAGCAGGCCACCAAAATACCTATCTATCCACATACAACACACACGCAGTAAATATTTAAAAGAAGAACTTACTTTTTATTCGATGATGTTGATGATAAAGGTGACAGGGCTAAACACCAATCAATTAAATGATGTTCATTAATTAAACTAATCAATATTTGTTTACTCAATTCATTGTCATGTGTTGTTATAATTTGTTTATGTGAATTCAATTGATCAATGCTAGTGTTCAATAGTTGTGAAGAATTTTTGGAATCTATCATATTCAAATGATCATTTGTTTCAATGGTCACAGTAGTAGTAGTCGTAGTAGTTGTTGTCGGTGTCGATGTCGACGTCGGTGCTGTTGATGTTGTACTGGTAGTAGTAGAACATGTTGTCCATGCAGATGATGACGAGTCAGTCGATGGACTGTTGTTATGATTCAATGATATGTCAACAATAGTCGATAATTGGTTCGGTTGATTGGAGGCAACAACAGAGTTATTAGTATTATTATTATTAGTAGTATTCTGGTTATTCATTAATCCGGAATGTTTAAATATTGACTTGATCATATCAGTGACATAATTATGTAAAAATGTATTATATGGATATGAACTAAATAATTTCTGTAATAAACACAGGAATATTTGAAGAAGAAAAAAAAACCAAAGTAGAAAGGAGTAAGTACAATTCACAACAGTTTATAATACATTGGATTCATGAAATAATATACAATGGAATGAACGAACTGTGTTTACCACACACACACACACACACACAAAGCCGTTTCATCTTGTTGAGGATGTTAGATCCTCCAGAACTTGCTTGATCAAAAGTGCCTTAGCTTGGATTTCATGTTTGCCATCATGGGGCTGATCAGTTGACCTGGAGATTTTATTTCCCACCACGAAAATCTATGGCTGTGATGATTGGCTGTGGTGTATTTTAGTGTGCTATTTTTTGTAACTGCCCCAAGGACGTTTCTATGATGTATAAATAAACGAGATTTGTGTGCTTGATTGTATTGTGATTGCTGGGTGTTTCTAGAATATACCCTTCTACGTTTACAAAGACTTCTGTTTTACAGTTTGGGATTCAAGGTAGCCTACTTGGACGCTGGTAATTGTCTCGTTCGCGTTTATCGACTAAGGTGAAATAGTAATAGCTTCAAGCGTACCTAGTGACAAACATAACACATCTTAATCAAGGGCTTATCAGCAGTGCGCATCCCCTTCGGAGAGAGCAGTGAAATACCAGTGGAGTCAAATCAGAGATAATTTGAAGGATGCCGACTGATTTTGTGTGCGATGGGAGTGGATGTGCACTGCCGACGAGTCTCATACTAGTGTAATGAACAAACACGGTGCGACCAGATGGAACAAGCGACTTATTTCATGAAGACACAGTTTACACTGATTGGTAAGACAAGTGAGTTATCAATTGCCTATTTCCACATCTCTTCTACTCTGCGCTACAAACTGAAGCCTCCCTGGAAGCTGGTAAAAGTCTCGTTCACGTTTATCGACTAAGGTAAACTTGTAATAGCCTCAAGCATACTAAGTGACGAACTTATCAGAAACTCTACTTCTTTTTTAGCAGTAACTCCATCGGATACCTAGTGCATACTACTACTACTACTTACTAGCTGCATTGTGAGTAGTATACACCATAATAGAATGAAAAACAGCCACCGGGTACTTCCAAGTTTCTAACAAACATCAGTACATGATTTTAACCGTGAAAAAGGAATACAGTCTCTAAAAATAGTCAGTTGAGTATTATGATTTAAAAGAGTTCCGAATTTTGTCAGCAAACAGTCAACTAAAACGATAAGGATAAATTCATTTTGTATTTTGGTTGTTTCCAACTTCCCCATCGAGCATCAGGGCAGAATTCAAAGTAAAACTATCATCTCCATGATTCTATAATGCCAGGTCAAAAAACCTGCTCACTAGTAATGAGGTTCGTGAGGAAATTCTCTGAGTTCTAGTGAGAAGACATGTCCAGTGAAGTTGAAACCTGTAGGGTGTGGTCGTTAACTACCGAAAACAGTGGATGAGGTTGCGCAAAATCATTAGATTGATCAGACTTATACATTACACACCGTCGGATGCCAGCTCAGTGGTCTAGCGTTTAAGAGTTCGCGTGCAATACCGAAGGTCCTGGGTTCGAATCCTGCGAGTAGTAAGAGTTGTAGACGCCCACTACTGACGAGTCCCATACCAGTGCTTACAGGTGGTCTAACAATGATTCATTCATAATTTCAAGGTAAAACAACAACAACAACTCTAATGAAAAATCATTAACATAGGTGAATATTGGCTAGCAGTATAGGGATCATACAATCAATACAAATGACTTCATCTTCATCCCATTGCACAAGCTAATAGAATCAGTAGTTAAGTCGATAACACGATGGTATTTGAAGCGAATGGTACTGAGTTCAAGTCCCATCATGAATATCAACTATGATATGTAACAGGTACATCCAACTAACTACAGACGAGTTCCATGTCGAACATGACGCGCATCCAGGAATGTACTGCCATCCACCTCGGCTAATAATGTTTGTAACCTAAATTATAAGTTGACTGTCAATGTGGAGATCCACACAACCAATAGAAACCAACTAAATCTTCGCCACAATACACAAACCAGTAGCCATCTCAACACAACACAGCATTTGAAGTGGATGGTACTCGGTAGGAGAAATCGTAATGAGCATCAATCATACCCTGAGATGTTGCGCGCATTCTACATCTGTTACACTCGGCATTAATAAATCAGAAAAGCGTAATTCAATTTTTTTTTATTGTCTTACCATTGAAGTTTGTAAAAATCCTGCATTGATAATAATTCGGCATAATTCACTATTCATAATTGGTAAAGATAAAAGTGTTGTAATAAATTGTACAATAGTTAAACGACAACGTCCAAGTGGTGGATTCAATGTACAATGTGTGGTTGGCATTTCATTATAATATTGCTATAAGATAAAATTAGAAAAAAGAAATTCGGGAATTTCAAATACTTCCTTTTTTCGCCATAAACTTATTATACTACTGAAATTAAATAATGACCTTATGTACGGCCTTATATATATATATATATATATATATATATATATATGATGGATTCAACTGCAAACTCGTACACGAAGGACAGCTATCAGACTCCTTGGAGCTGAAGACTGGTGAGAGGCAAGGTTGCTTACTCTGATTCTTTCTCCTGGTGATCGACTGGATTATGAATACGTCAGCATCTAGAAGGAAGCAGGGTATCAACTGAACAGCTAGGACGCAGCTGGACGATCTGGACTTCGCAGATGACCTGGCTCTTCAATTGCACATGCAACAATAAATGCAAAAGAAGACGACCAGTGTAGCAGCAGCCTCTGTAACAGCAGGTCTCAACATACATAAAGCGAAAAGCAACATTCTCCGATGCAACACAACATCCACCAACCAAATCACTCTTGACGGAGATGCCTTGGAGGACAATAACACCTTTATATATCTGGGCAGCATCATCGACAACCAAGGTGGATTCGATGCAGATATGGGGGCGTGGATCGACAAAGCAAGGACTGCATTTCTACAGTTGAAAAATATCTGGAACTCCAAACAACTTTCAACCAAAACCGAAATCAGGATTGTCGATACAAATGTCAACACAGTTCTACTTGTATGGAGTGGAAACTTGGAGAACTACCAAAGCCATTTTCCAGAAGTTACCAGTATTTATTAACAGTTGTCTAAGCAAAATACTTCGCATACGTTGCCCAGACACCATCAATAACAACCTACTGGGGGGAGAGAACAAACCAGATTCCAGTGGAGGAAGAAATCAGGAAGAAGTGCTGGAAGTGGATAGGACAAACATTGAGGAAAACATCTAACTGAGTCACAAGACAAGTACTCACTTGAAACCCTCAGCGTCAAAGGAAAAGCAGAAGACCAAAGAACACATTACGCCGAGAAACAGAGAAAGATATGAGAGGAATGCACAAACATTTGACAGAACAGGAAAGGGAAGCCCAGGACAGAGTTGGTTGGAGAAAACTAGTGGGCGACATATGCTAGGTTGGGGGTAACAGGATTAAATAAGTAATATATATATATATATATATACATATATATATATATATATATATATATATATATATATATATATATTGAGTTCTAGTATTGTTTCTATTGTCAGAATGGTGGTCGCTTAGCTATAAGTTTATTTGTCTCAATTATCTAACTAATAACTATCACAATTATATCAGTACAGACAGAGAGAGAGAGATGTGCCAACAAATGAAGATGCCACCCTTTTACAATTATCTAAAATTTACAAGAGCCTGTTAGCATTAATTATCACGTCTCAGACAAGTCATCTTATTTATTTATTGACTAACTAACTAACTCACTAAACTAGTCAATATTATTGTTCAATGTTCCAATGTGGTGATAATACACAGATCATTAAAAACAAACACGCCCAGATGACGACCTTGAGGGCAATTTCAAAAATGGGAGAATAGATTAAGACAAACATACCTATGCACATACGTACACAGAGATACTATTTTTTTTTCAAAATAGAAGCCTGTACAGTAAATATTACAATTTATTGAAAGAGTGTGATTATTGCCAAAAAATTTTTTTATAAATTTCAATGAATCATCAAGTAAAATGGGAGTTGTTTATATATTTGAAACAATTAAATTTGGATAATAGTAAAAGTTAGAATTTTAGTGTTTTTCTCTGTTAAAATAAGTTAGTTCTTAGAGAGGATTAGTAAATTAGGGAAAAATTAACTATTGAAGCCTATGTGATGATGACTTGAGAGTGGGATTACAGAGTTCAAGGGACAACTGCTTGAGGCCGATCACGTATGACTCTTTTTAATGGGACGTCTTTGATGTGCGAACTCCATTCTTTAAAAGGCCTTACCACTGGAGATGGAAATTTGTGGATTAAGATGAAGTGTGAGATTTTTAGGGTTGACCATTTCAAACCAGTTCCTTCTATTATGAGAAAAAGGAAATCGTTGCAAATGCTAGTTGACTGAAGGAAACACCTTACTACTGTCACAGTCAGTCAATCAGCTACAATATAGAACTTTGTACGTAAGTACATCAGTTCAAGTTGCCATTAGCACACATTAGCACAGAGATATGATTGTCAATTCAAATCCCATGATAGTAGAAGAATCAGAAATTTTAGAGTTCGACGATATTAAAGGAAAAAAGGTAAAGATGATGAAGAATTCAGAAGATTAGAATTTCATAGAAAACAATGAATGAATGTACCGGCGCCATTGCAGACGGTTTTGAGTTATGTCATTTGGGGTCTCTAACCATCGATCGATCCCAACCAGGGAGTCGACAACTACCGACATGACTCAGTCCATTTGTCAGTGACTTCATGGATAACTGCCATGTTTTGGTTTGGCCACCCCTAGCTTTCTTTCAACCTACTCCTATGCCACAAAACAAAGCTCGACGAGGTAGTCGGTGGTTGGGCATAAGTAAAACATGTCCCAACCACCTCAACTGATGAAATGTCACTACTGCGTCTATTGATATGACACCATTGTTTAGGACCCGTTTTCAAACGACAATATTGCGAACTCGGTTGTCCGAGGATTAACGAGCAGTGCTGTCACACCTCTCTACGGTCAGCAGTAGGACCTCTCTTCCAGAACTTAAGGTCTATTCAAGTCCGATGATTGTCTCGGTTGTTAATTCGGAAATATAAATGTGGTATGTAGGTTTTATCAATCATCGTAGTGTTTCGAATTATTTATGGAAAAATAATTACATACATTTAACTTTATTGAACTCCGCCAGTAGAACCTTAGGGGCTACTGCTGGTACCAAGCCCGGATAAAGGAGGAGGGTTGGACATGGGGTTGGCGGCCCCATTCCGTTGAAATCTAACTTGCCAAAAAAACGCTAACCAGAAAAAATAATTCAAACCATTTTAACTCTGCCCTGGGAGTTGGAAGAAGAATTATGACGTCTCGTGATGAAAGCCGAGTCCCCTCGGAAGTCACGGGGCTGATGCCTCTTCTGACAACCAGAGCAACCATTTTTTTAGGTACATGGAACGTTCGTACATTGTGGGAGACTGGAAGACTATTTCAAGTTGCGGCAGAAATGAAAAGATACAACCTCGAGGTGCTCGGCATCAGTGAAACACATTGGACACAAGTAGGACAACTGAGACTTGCTTCAGGGGAACTGCTGTTATACTCTGGTCATGAAGAGGAAAACGCTTCACATACACAAGGAGTTGCACTGATGATGTCCATACATGCACAAAAGGCACTTATTGGACGTGAATCTCATAGAAACAGGATCATTAAAGCATCTTTCAGAACAAGGAAAGAGGAAATTACAATGAACATCAACCAATGCTATGCACCTAACAATGACTACAATGAAGACGTTAAAGATAAATTCTACGAAAAGCTGCAGTCAGTCGTCGAGAAATGTTCACCAAAGGATTTGACGATTCTTATGGGAGACCTGAATGCCAAGGTTGGCATGGACAACACTGGATATGAAGACATCATGGGACGACATGGACTGGGAGAAAGGAACGAAAACGGTGAGAGATTTGCAAACCTATGTGCCTTCAACAAACTGGTCATCGGTGGCACAATATTCCCGCACAAACGCATTCACAAAGCCACATGGATTTCACCGGACCACACTACTCAAAACCAAATTGACCATATCTGTATCAACAAAAAGTTCAGAAGGACCATGGAGGATGTGAGAACCAAGAGAGGGGCTGATATAGCTTCAGATCACCACTTGCTGATCGCCAAAATGAGATTGAAGCTAAAGAAGCACTGGACAGTGGGGCAGACAACAACACACAAGTTTAATACGGCCTTTCTTCGGGATACCGTAAAACTCAACGAATTCAAGATAGCCCTCACCAATAGGTTCTCTTTCTCCTGGTCATCGACTGGATTATGAAGACGTCAACATCTGGAGGGAAGCACGGTATCAACTGGACAGTTAGGACGCAGCTGGACGATCTGGACTTCGCAGATGACCTGGCTCTTCTATCGCACACTCAACAACAAATGCAAGAGAAGACGACCAGTGTAGCAGCAGCCTATGCAGCAGTAGGTCTCAACATACATAAAGGAAAAAGCAAAATTCTCCGATGCAACACAACATGCACCAACCGAATCACGCTTGATGGAGATACCTTGGAGGACGCAGATGTGAGGGCGCGGATAGGCAAAGCAAGTGCTGCATTTCTACAGTTGAAAAATATCTGGAACTCCAAACAACTTTCAAACAAAACCAAAATCAGGATCTTCAATACAAATGTTGGGTGGGTTCAGTGGAGCTGGTCGATTCAATAGTTCCTTAAAGTGCTGTACCCACCTGTTTCGCTGTTCGTCAGTGTTGCTGATTACTTTGCGGTCCGTGTTTTTTATGGTAGGTCTGGTTTACGATAGTTTCCGGCGAGCTTCTTTGTAGTTTCGTACAATTGTCTCAAGTTTCCTTCTCTTGCAGCCTTTTCCGCCGTCATTGCTAGATCTTCCACATATTCCAATCGAGGAGGAAATCAGGAAGAAGCGGTGGAAATGGATAGGACATACACTACGAAAAGCACCCAACTGTGTCACTAGACAAGCCCTCACATCAAACCCTCAAGGCAAAAGGAAAAGAGGAAGGCCAAAGAACACACTACGCCGAGAAATAGAGAAAGATATGAGAGGAATGAACAAACATTGGACAGAACTGGAGAGGGAAGCCCAGGACAGAGTTGGTTGGAGAAAACTGGTGGGCGGCCTATGCTCCATTGGGGGTAACAGGCGAAAGTAAAGTAAGTAACTTTATTGACAATATAATAAGTTGTTGTTTTTGAAAAATCCCCTGATCCCTGTAGCCCGAGTGAACTTTGCCAATTACAGGATTCTCAGTGAACACAAAAACAATTCGAATCTACAGTTGGTCACCGACTGCCATGGAAATGCATCTGCCAACGATACTGCACAGCTTTATAGATTAGTATGCTTTCTTTTTGGTCAAAAGGTTTGACGTAAGAAAAACAACCACCAGGTTGGGGTCTGCGAGACGAAAGTCACCAATGGTTAGAGACCTTGAACGACATGGCTCAAAATGGTTTGCAATGGCGCAAGTGCATCCATTCATTGCTCTCTCTCAAATCCTAATCTTCTGGAATCGTCAACACCTCCACTTTTGTCTTCCTAACCTTATCTCACTGAATTATACTTCTTGAATAATATCTTCGAACGCTAGTCTTCTTTATTAACATTAATACCTCTACTATCTTTATCACTATGGGATTTGATTTGACATTTGCGTCTCTGTGCTAATGTGGTATGGCAACCTGAACTTATGTACATACGTACGAAGTTCTACGTTGCAACTAACTGACTGACTAAAACCAACCACCTAATTTGATATTTAAACATTTGTATAATACAATCCTACAACTCATACACAATTCAATAATTCACATGTGGCATAGATATTCAGCTCTCCTCTTCTCCTCCAACTGAAGCCGCTTTGGGGCTACTACCGCCCCGACAGCCCAAATATAGGAGAAGGGCTGGACATGGAGTTGGAGACTCCAGCTAACTAACACATTTCAACGTAAAAAAATAGAATAGGGATGAATAGTCATTTGGAAACTTTAGGATATTCATCCAATATCCTAAGAGAATTATTGGTCAAAGCCTATTGGTCGATTTCTATTGTGCAAAATCATGGATGTTTTAACTGTCAAAGTCAAATACTTCAATGTTGTATCTCATTGGTCATCCGGACTGTCGATGTCATTTCAGATGTTCTTTCTTATTGGTTGTCCTCACTATCAATATCATTTCAAATGTTACTTCTTATTGGTCGTCTTAACTGTCAATGCCACAGGATTCGATGCTGTTTCCTATTCGACCAAAATGTATAAATACGCATTATCTGTAACATTTTATGACCAAGAACAGAACCAGGACCCGGTCCCGGATCCCTAGTCCGGGATCCTGATTCTCTTCTGGATTCGGACCTCGTACTTTCTGAATGCTTGTAGAATACACGTTCTACTTCATATCAAGTCTTCTTATTTTAACTCAATATTGGGATTGGGATAATCGGATTTGAGTAGCATGTCGTGTCGCCGGATCCTCGATTCTCGCTCTCGCGTTTCCGACTAGGTAAACTCGTAATAGTTCAAGTATATCAAGTTGACGTGCTGGCATAACAAAAACAACACAAAAACACAATCACTTACTGGATGAAATCGTTCTAACAAATTGTGTAATGCATTTAAACGTGGCAGTGTTGCTTTAATTAAATTTTCTGATGATTTCATAATATGTAATCGGTCAATAATTGTGTTATTATTGTTGTTATTTTGATTACTATTGGCTGATGATGATGATGATGATGATGTAATCGGTGGATTGATCTTTTCAATAGTGTTGTCATCAGCAGGAAAATACGGTTTATCATTACTAGTAGTATCACGTAATAGGGATTTTAAATTAATATTGATATTATTAAAACATTGAATTAATGCGTCACAATTTAATTCGGGCTCTTCTTCTCCAACAACAAAACTGGATTCACTATAAACAAAATTAGAGAAAAGAAAGTGAAGATAAGGAAAAACAATAGTGTTCTATTCAATGAAAGACAGCATCATCAACATCAGTGTTTACGTTCATGTATACATTACTTACTTACTTACGCCTGTTACCCCCAATGAAGCATAGGCCGCCCATCAGTTTTCGCCAACCAATTCTGTCCTGGGCTTCCCTTTCCAGTTCTGTCCAATGTTTGTTCATTCCTCTCATATCTTTCTCTGTTTCTCGGCGTAATGTATTCTTTGGCCTTCCTCTTTTCCTTTTGCCTTGAGGGTTCCGTGTGGGGGCTTGTCTCGTGGCGCAGTTGGGTGCTTTTCGTAGTGTATGTCCTATCCATTTCCACCGCTTCTTCCTGATTTCCTCATCCACTGGAATCTGGTTTGTTCTCTCCCCCCAGTACGTTGTTACTGATGGTGTCTGGTCAACGAATGCGAAGTATTTTGCTTAGACAACTGTTAGTAAATACTGGTAACTTCTGGAAAATGGCTATGGTAGTTCTCCAAGTTTCCATTCCATACAAGTAGAACTGTCTTGACATTTGTATTGAAAATCCTGATTTTGGTTTTGGTTGAAAGTTGTTTGGAGTTCCAGATATTTTTCAACTGTAGAAATGCAGCCCTTGCTTTGCCAATCCGCGCCCTCAAATCTGCCTCCGGTCCACCTTGTTCATCCATGAGACTGTCCAGATATGTAAAGATTTTAACGTCCACCAAAGCATCTCCATTGTGACCAATGTCACTGAGGTATGCCAAAAGAGAGCTGCGAATTATTTTTATCTGACCCTTTTCAAACCATGCTGGAAGATGCTCACTCATTCGTTGGTTCAGTTGCCTGATAGTACACCCAATATAATTATCTTCAGAGGAGCAGCTGAGATTATAAATTCACATTGAGGAAGTCAATTCTAGTAACTTATCTTTCGTTTGAGTAGACATCACTGGCCGTATAGAGAATGCCAACGCAAGATTGATTGCGTAGAATGTTCTACTGATTACCTTCGCTAATATATCATGCAACGGCGATGTCATCAGTGATATGCTGCATGATAGACTATTGTTCTTATCACTAAAACAGTACACCAGTCTCCCTCCTATCAATTCGTACTTTAACCTATTATGTATAGTTGCGTAATCAGTAGTTTTATTTTAAAAAATCTAAAAAGAATAGTTCATTGTTTAGGTAAGTAAGGGACAGATGATGTAACGAAATATTTGGTATATATACATAGTAGACAGTGAATAACCACAGGACCACACGTCATTCATTTCTTCAAGATTCTGGGGGTTCATGTATAGCATTGGTTTGAAAGCAGGATTTTACCGAACACCATTAGGTGCATTCTGAATTATTCACTGGCTCATTTAAAAACGCCAGATATCGGCTTTTCACATCCTCTCAACTTTTCAAACAACATTTTGGCCATGAGAAGTTAGTAGAATTTATCTATCTTCACGAGCTTCCATTAGGCATCCAAATATTATTAAGGCCAATATTTTAGATTCTTCAGTGATTGTAAAAAGAGGACTTTTGTCCTTTCTTACAGATTGAGACAATCAATGATTGAGACCAGTCGGTTGAGATTACGTCCAGTTCCGAGATTCTACCTAAGATCTCAGTCAATCTAACTGCTAAAACTGGATCATGATCCTTAAAAATCTCAGGGGTAGGTTTGTCAGGCTATGAAGCTCGCCCTCAATTCAGATTTCCTATCGCTTTCTCAACTTCATAAACATTCAGAGGACTTATAATATTGATTTGCCATTTAGGATGAGTGGAGATCGTGGGCAACCGATGTGTGGTTGAAAGCCAGTTGAACTGATCTCTAAAGTGTTCTGCCTATCGATCCCAATCTGCTGGATTGAGAATGAATAATATAGTCGATCTTTTTCCAAGATAATTTCGCTAACAGATTGATTTTTAATACCGGTTTCTTTGATAAGTCGGAACAATTGTCTGCTACTGTTACCTATCGTCGTTACACTGGCATAAAATTAGGACAAGATAAAAAAAACCCGTAACAACATAATTACATATATAAACAAAACTGTCAATTAACTTACGGTTTACTTTTACCAATTAAAGCCATAAACACATTGACACAATTGATTAAAACCGATGGTTCAACGTATTCATTAAGTAGAATACGATCAAACAATAGTGACATGGTGTTTTCACTGAAGGGAGGAAGAGAGAGATGAAGAAGCATAGAATGAAGTTCACGTTTCCACTATGAATTGATTAAAAACACAACGAAGATAGATAAACACGGGATATGGTTTTTTGCATTATGGAATTACGGTGATCGTCGTTTTTACACCGTTTCGTCTTCGTATGAGACTCAACGATTTATTCATGGTTATTATGTAAAACAATGATCTGCGTAATATTATATAAAGTTTACTCACTAGCGCGACTAGCTTCGTAAGGAAATTCTTGGAGTTCCAGCGAGAAGACGTGACTAGTGGAGTTCAACCCTGTCGGGTGTAAGCAGTAACTACCAAGGACAATGGGTCCGTTTGTGCTAAATCGTTAGACAGTGATCAGCGTCAGATATTAACACCGACAGGTTCCGGCTCAATGGTTAAACGTTCATGCGTAAGACCAAGGCACCGGGGTTCGAATCCTACGAGTAACGGCAGTCGTGGATACGCACTATGGATGAGTCCCATACCAGGACTGAACGTCCATTCAGTGTCTCCAGGTTTCTAATGATGACGGTTTATCAATCATTTACTCATGATTTCAATGAGTAAAAATATCCTTTTATTGTCACTATGATTTTTTCAATATTCATAATTCATTGAGGGGTTTTCGTGAAGATTGTTAAGTTTTATTTGTAACCATGAATCGATCAATTTTAGACCACCATTATAAACCTGGGAGCACTGGACGGCCGTTTCGACCTGGTATGAGACTCATCAGAAGTGCGCATCCACCACTCCTGCGACCCGCAGGATTCGAACCCACGCCCTTCGTTATTGCGCGCGAACACCCCAACTGCTAGATCACTGAGCCGGTATATAACGGTGTTAATGTCTAACTTGATCAAATTCACGTAGTTGCGTAACCTCATGCCCTGTATACATCAGAACAGGTTTGAACTTCACTGGTCACGACTTCCCACTAGAACTCGGAGAAGATTCCTCACCAAGCTAGTCACTAGTGAACACATGTAATGCTTCAAGGTTTCTAATGGCGGTCTAACATTGATCGATTCATGGTTACAATTCATAATTCAATTTTCAGTCAGTTTAACTAATTTATTTATTGAATATTAACGAGTTATCATTTATAGTATGAAAATTAATTGATATTACTAATTACTACTCTTAACTACTACTATTAAAAGAAATCCAATATATATTTAATTTGACTAATGTTTGAAAAAAATTAAATAAAAATTGTTTCAAAAAAAATGCAACGTACTACTAAAAACACAAAAAAAGAAACTACTTGCAAAAATATGTATGAATATATTCAGAGATATTTTACACACAAATTATGATGTCACTCCGCTGCATTAGCTTATAAGTAGTATGCATCGGAGTATCGCTTTGAAGCTGCTACCAGCGAAGACTGTCAGATACATGGTATGATTTGGGTAGTATTGTGGTGTGTGCTACTTATACGAACGATATAAGTAGTTTACGTTTTCGTCTTGTTGGGCAATTCCTCTTCCAATGTCCGGTTACTGAGCAAATATAGCATTTATTATTTCTTCCACCCTTTATTCGTAACGCTGCCACCTCGCGTTGTAATTCTTCTATCTTCTTCACGACATCATCAGCCTGTCTTTCACACGCCACTGAGGCGACTGTTGAGTTCATCAGTTGTCTTGTTACTTTCGCCAGCTCGGTGACGTCCATTGGTTGTGCAGCGTTCACCAGTCTCAACTGTTGGCCAACCTCTGCAGGCACACTTTCAATGAATTGCGACGCTAGCAGCTGTGCTTGCGACTCCTCATCCAAATTCGATAGACCCCGGCGCAGCAATCTTGTCAACTCCACGGCCAGCACGAGTGGGTCGCCATCCACCGTCAGTCGCGCCTCTCGGAATTTCTGCAGCGCGTCCTGCCTATTCGCCGTGCTGTCGAACTCCACCAGCAGCCTTCCCGTCACCATCTTCCAGTCAGCGTCCTCCACACCATCGTACACCGCTTACGCCCTGCCTTTTAGTAGAGTCCCCAGCACCACAGCCTTCGCCCTCTGCTCCTTGACTCCGACCAGCTCCGCCATGGCCTCGAACTCCTTCAAGAAGCACCTTACACCTCCGTCTTCAAACTCTCGAGGCCATGGTATCCTCATCCTGTCTAGAGGTAGCGACACTGATTGAGAAGACTGAGGCAGGCGCGACGGATAACAAATTTATACTCTTAGTGAATTAAAAACGAAAACATTACATTGAACACTCTATTTGCACACCATCTTTGAGTCCTGACTTCCAACGCTCCATCCTTCTTCCATTCCTGCTGTTGCTTCCTTTACTTCCTGTCGGAACTCTATTTATTTATTGCTTTTGCTCCATTTGCTTTCCGTTTTCCTCTTCTGACCGTGAGACTTCTTCTTTCACGTCCATTCTTATACTACTTATATCGTTCGTATAAGTAGCACACACCACAGTATGACGACGAGCGGAAGGAGAATAGGTTAACTTGTTTGTATTGCACACAGATTTGTTTTCAAGATGATATATGTACTGATTTTTTTAAAATTTACTGTGCCTTCGACAAAGAATGTACTTCTATAATATCTGGTTTCTTGATTTTTTTTTTGGTACGTTACACAGTTATGTATCCCGACCGTAGCTGCTACCTTGACGTGGTGGTCGGGCTTGACTATCGTGATGACCCAACCGAGCTATATTGGCTGGAACATATGTTCCTGTACGTTCTACCATGCCAGAAAGGTCGATCGGAGAATGATGAGACTAAAAGCAGCTACTCAAGGTCTAAGGGTGAAGTCGTACTGCTGACTGTGATGGAGGGGTGTGACAGCAGTAAGGTGTTTCCCTCAGACAACCAGCATCTGCAGCGATGCTGCCTTCTCAAAAAGAAGGAACGAAGGGTTAGAAAAGGTCGACCCTGTAAATGCCACACCTCACCCTACCTCACGGATTTCCGTCTCCGTCGGTAAGGGCTGCCAAATAAGGCCTTTAAAAAGAGAGGAGCTAATACTCAAAAAACCCTCCATAAAAATTCGACGCATGATCGGCCTCAAGCAGTTGTCCATTGAACTTTGCGGTCACGCTTCCAGGTCTCTAAGACCAACACTAATCTATCTTCCTTTTCAGGTTCCTCAAGAAACAACCTTCCACGGTGTGTGGGCAGCCGGGAAGTGACAACCGCCCTCATACCTGTAACAGCGCATGAGACCAAATTGATCAAAATCGAATCCATTCTACACTAACACACACCTCTCTTCTCTCCACAACGGACTCTACTCACAGTCCCTTTTGCTCACTGACAGTTATGTATGTGTGAGATAAAAATAGAGAGAGAGAGAGAGAGAAAGAGAGAGTAGTTCATTTGCTCTCCAAAAAGGTTAGTAATCAATAGTATGAAACATGTTCAATAGTGTCACATGTCAATAAATCAACTGATTATTATTATTATTACAAGTGTATATATAACAAACACATGAGTTATACATGTCATTGGAATAGTAGGTAACAGATTTATTTCATAGCATAACTATTGATATTTATGTATAAACTGAGATAATACTGCTTGGCTGCCCAAATTGAAGTAGGTGGGTAGTTTATTTTACATCCACTCTCTGAATCTTTCAGTGGACAAGTCTAATCCACATGGTAGTGGGCGAAACCAGGCGATTAATTTGGAATCAGGGTTTTATGGAAAAAACTCCTGTGACGAGTAGGATTTACTTCTCAGTAGTGGCTAAACAAGCATAGTTCATATGAAAGCATTTCAAAGAGAGCAAACCTTTGCCACTCTCGATCGTACCAGTAAATTTTTATATAGGTAACATAAATATAGTGATTTCACAGTTATTTGTTAACAAGTAGTTGGGTAAAAAGCAAAACTCATTGAGTCAAGAAAAGGTTTACAAAAAAAAAATGAAATCAACTCAATGAGTTCGTCAATTTTTTTTCAAGCTAACTGAGTTACAGAACGAAAGTATCCCGTGGCAAGCGTGCATCACTGTAAATAATAACTAAGAAATGTGAGTCAGTCAGTCAGTTGCAACGTAGAACTTCGTACGTATGTACATAAGTTCATGTTGCCATACCACATTAGCGCACAGACGCAAATGTCAAATCAAATCCCATAGTGATAAAGATAGTAGAGGTATTAATGGTAATAAAGAAGACTAGGGTTCAAAGATATTATTCAAGAAGTATAATTCAGTGAGATAAGGTTAGAAAGACAAAGGTAGAGGTGTTGACGAATCCAGAAGATTGGGATTTGAGAGAGCTCAACGAATGGATGCACTTGCGCCATCGCAAACGATTTTGAGCCATGTCGTTCAAGGTCTTTAACTATTGGTGACTTTCGTCACGCGGACCCCAACCATGTAGTCTACATCTTCCGACATGACTCAGTCCACTTGTTAGTGAGAGTGAGTATTTATAGTGTTCTTCGGATCTATTGCCAACGTTGAAGTTACAGGTAAGTAAGTAGCTTGTGTGTGTGTGTGTATCTGCAAACCATACACTGAACATGATAGTCGATGATTTTCTAAATTGAATCAGTAAAACATCTTGATTGCTTACTTTACTTATGACTGTAATCCCTAAAGGAGCATAGACTGCCTACCAGCGAATTAGGTTTGGTGGGATCACTAACTCCATGCCCGGCCGTCCTTTTTTTATCAAAGCTCGGGACCGGCAACAACCCTAGAAGGGTTCCAGGCGAAGTTTATTTTATTCAACAATATTTCTATTACCTCTACTATTATGGGAATTGAATTGATAATTCTATCCCTCTTTGTTTGCTAATGTGGTACGGCAACTTGAACTGATATACATGCACCTATCAAGTTCTACATTGTAGCTGAATGACTGATTCTATTCAATAGTTCTAATATAAAAATCAAGCAACAAGTACCAATAACATTGTTAATGTAGCCTGAACAAACTTCTAAATACGAGATTATTAACACAATTAAAATCACACCACATTCGGTAGTTACTATTTAAGGCAAGTACGTGATAG